TCCTGTGACTGAAGGGTTTGGAAGGAATGAAACAAACGTTTTTGAGAGCTATTTTAAATTCAGAAAGCCAGATGTCTTCCAGTAGCAGTGGTCTTATCTAGGGGCACAGCCAACTCCACCACTCCTGTTCATGGATAGAAAACTGGGTCTGTTTCTTACCTCTGGCCAGACCAGCATTGTTTGACATGAGTTTCTTAAAATCACATGTGGAACTAAAGCTGATGAGTGCAGTACATGAAGAAAAGGTTTTGTGACAGGGTCAGGAAGCAGGGCAGCCTGAGTCCCAAGGTGTGTATTAGGTCAGCTCCTCTGGTGTTGGGGAGCGATGCCACTTCCAAGAAGCTCTGCGGAGCCTGGCCATTAAGGACAATGTTGCTTTAGTGACAGTGCCAGAGCAGAGAACTCAGCTTTAACATAGCAAGAATGAGAAGTCAGAGGACATAGCACAACTGAAGGAATGGCACAATTACACCTCTTGTTGCATCTCAGTTATTAAGTTTTCTGACATAGTACATAGACACCAAAATGGTTGTCTGTTGTGTGAGGCATAGTGAGAGAAGGGAAAGGGACATGCACTGATCCAGCAACAAGGTGTACCTACCACTATATCGTGTCTCTAGTAGTAGCTGGGAACCAGTACCTAGAGAAGAGTTAAGTATATGACAAGTGTAGATGATGCCTTTCACTAATTCTGCGGTGGCTACCAACTCCGCCAGGATTCTGTGCATTCGATGTGATTTATTTTGGGTTTCTCCTTCATGGGCCCCATAAAATCATGCAAGCCATCAGCACAGGAAATGCCATTAGGCAAGGAGTTCCATTGATTTGTACCCACTCCGTGAACTTGCTACAGACATAATGGGTAATCAGGGCAAACACAAGAGCACTTTCTAAAATACTTTTTTGTGTAGGACTGTTGGCAGAGATGGGGGTTGGAGAAGGTTCTTGTTGAACGAAACAGGCCAAGAGTGCAGAAAAGAAGCACAGAGCCCACCTTGAGATACAAACACTATAGATGAAAAAGGATGGTGTACGTGTGTCTACATGTGTATAAATTAGTGCCAATGAGCGCAGAGGAGGGATTGTAAGTTTGGGGCTGAATTGTTGTGGAATGTAGTTAGCAGAGATTAAGAAGTTTGCTTAAAAAGCCATGTTAGATAATGGGAAAGGAAATCGTCAGCGACAGTGGAGCCAGGGAACATAAATTATTTGTCAGTTAGCACTAGAATGTCTCTCAAATGGTGTTTTAAACCATCAAGAGTTGCAATTGCCTTATAGCATAGTAAGGCATTTTTGAAAACATTTTCATTACTGATGCTTTAATCAATCTTGCATACTTCTATATTCCTTCTAAATGGCTTGGACTGTAACTTGATAGGCAGATGCTGGCTATGGACACATGAAATTATCTGGTGAAAATTATCTAATGAGGAAGAAGAGAGAAAGAATTGAAATATTAGCTTGAAGGAAATAAAAGGGGAAGCTTGTGTGCAAGTGCAAAGGCAAATGCATATATGTACATGCAGATACATGATCTGTGCTTTCTCTTTCTAAAAGGGGATCTATTTTTTTTCTTTTCTTTTCTGAGAAATACAACAATTAACATCTGTGTGGTATGTTTGTAGAACAAGTGTTTATAATAATGCTTTGTGCAAAACAATTCTGAGGTCTCTGATCCAAATTGTGTGTCCCAAGATGTAGAGTTTTGAGTGTGGCTTTCTGCTTTCTTTTGACTGATGTCTGAGGCTATGAATATATATGCACAAGTGAGAGGGCACAGGGAGTGGTTACGTGGAATTCACTGAGATTATTCATGTTAAAGCACTAACTCCCCCTTTACATGTTTGCTGAAAGACAGTGCAAATGCTGTTATAAGACTCTATGTTAAAATCCTTCAGGAATGAGGATACCCAGCCATAAAATTGGTCTAAAACTCTGTGATGGGAGCATCTCTTACTTGAACCTATTCAGAGTGATTAAAATTAGATCTTAGAAATATTATTAGAGTATATTCATACCCTGATGAACTACAATCTCTTTAGAAGGGAATTATTTTCACTCACCTTTTATTTGAAGTAGAAAATGATTTGACTTTAAACCGTATTTAATAATGTAGCTAGTAGCAACAGAACTATTCATTACTTTATGTATTTGGAGGCAGTATAACCAGAATTTTGTATGATCTATGCTTTTGATATATGTGTGTCTGACCTGACCTCTTATTATCTTATACCTCTGGTTTATTTTCTAGCATCTAGCAGACTTTGCTGTGCACAAACCTATGATATTTTTTCTCCCTTCAAATCAGTGTATAATTCAAAAAAAAAAAAAACTTAAAAATCCTTTATCTGAGGGAAATATTCTTTAGAGTGAAAGGACAAAAGGACAATGTTTTTTTTTTAATGTGATCCAGTAACAACATAGGCAGTGCTCTGCATCACTCAGACCTTGTTTGTCAGGTAAATGATGAGGGAAGATCACATAAGTAAATTTACATATTCAGGAAAGGATTTCTTTGCCTTTATTTCTAGCTTAATGCAGCAGCAGGGAGGCCATTTGACTGATGTTCTTGTTTTGGTCTTCCAGACTGGGATGAATGTGCTTCTCCATCTGAGAATGACTGCTCCGTATTTGCAGAATGCATCAATTTGATGGGTTCGTACATGTGTCGATGCAAGACAACCATGGACACTAATCCATCCCGACCTGGAAGAAAATGTGAAGGTGAGCGAGACAGCTGTTTATTTTGCCGTGAAAGGTGGGAATATATTATGGTTTTCTACCTCTGCTCCTATTAGAAGCGTTTGTATCATGCACAAAGTGCAGGCTCTGACTGAAGAATCATGTATGATCTATGTGTACTATGGATGACCCTTATACATGTCTTTGCATGTAATCTCTCAGAGCTACTCTTTGATTAGCCTAAATACTGGTTGCTAAGAAACATGAGGCACAGTTCCCTCTTCTTGGTAACTCTGGGGCTAATCTGTAATGATCCATGGCACGCAAACCAGAAGAAGAGATATAGGAATCGATTCTTCTTTGTGTGGACACAAATCAGACTCAGCAGCATAAAAATTACAGTTCATTAAAAAAAAAATCTGGGTCCTATTTCTGTAACACTGTAAAATGTGATGAGGTGGTCTCAGTCTTCTCCTCAGGTCAGATCTGGCCTGTACTTATGTTCTCTTCCGTCTGAGTTTCCACTCCATGTGCATTTGTTTGCTGCAGGTGAAATTGTGAACCCCCTTACTGAAACAATGGCTCCCGGGGTAAGAGGCACCACAGAGATGGCTCCTGACGTGAGCACTGCAGGCTCTGCTTCCCCAGCCCTTGCCAAGATGGAGGCTGTAGCTGCCGTAGGCTCCGGGATGAGCACTACTGTCCGCGTCCCTGCTGTACTGCCCCTGAGTGATGGGCGAGCGCACCACAGCACTGCTCCCACCCGTGCTCCTGCAGCCACTTGGGAAAACGGCTTGTCCTTTCGGCCCGGCTTTGGCCGGGGGGACA